TGGCGGTGCCCAGAGCCAGCTCGCTGAGCCTCTGCAGGCCGGCGGTCGCGCTCTCCAGAGGCAGCAGGACCAGCACCGTGAGCCAGTTGAAGATGCCGTGCACCGCCGAGCCGCTGAAGGCCCTGCACGGAGCACACCGTGGGGCTGCCGGGGCCGTGGCCACCCCGGCTGTGGCCGCCCTGCACCGCCGGCCCCATCCTCCTGCCCAACCCACCTCTGAAACTCGTCGCGGTCCCCCGACTGCACCATGGACACCAGGGTGCTGGTGATGGACGTGCCCACGTTGACGCCCATGATGATGGGCACAGACGCCTGGACAGTCAGCACTGCGGGGAGGCCAAGTCAGCCTCCGCCTGCCCTGCCCTGTCCCCAGCCCTGCCCGGGAGGGGGTGCACGCACGATTCGAGGCCACCATGCTGACCACGATGGAGGAGGACGTGCTGGAGCTCTGCACAAGGACGGTGACCAGCACGCCGATGACCAGTCCGGCCACGGGGTTGGACAGCACCACGCTGTCCTTGAAGATGTCTCCGGCCAGCTTGCCTGCACTCACAAAGGAGGCACGTTGAGGCCGTGGGGCTGACGGCCCAGCCGGCACCGCGCCTGCCCTGCGCCCGCCTGGCCACTCACCGCCCAGCAGCTGGAAGGCAGAGCTGAGAATGTCCAGGGAGCAGATGAAGAGGTAGAGGTTGCCCAGGATCCCACAGGCTTTGAGGAGGCCAATGGCCACCCGGCGCAGCCTGCCCGCCACACTGAGCTCTGGGGACACGGCCCGGCTGTTCGCCGCTGGTCCTCGACCTGCCCCATCCCTTCCAGGCCCCTTTCCCCGCTGTCCCCAGGATGGCCACACCTCCCTGTCCCTCCATTTCCTCCCCTTCCATAACCCGCAGGCAGGTGTGGCCCTCCCCTCTCTGGCTCTTCAGGGCCCCCAGAAGCACATGCACGGGCGGGAAGGAGGGAGCAGATGGGGCGGGGTGGCTGTCCGCCACACGACAGGCAGACCTCCAGGCTGAGGGACAAGGGTCTCTCTGGGGGGACCCACAGGGTGGGGGCCCTGTGGCCCTGCTCTCTCCCCCAGACCTGGGAAGGCAGGGGCCTGCCTGCCATTCCCACCCCGAGACCCACCTCTCCGAGACCGGCCACTGCTCTTCAGCTCAGGGAGGGCCCAGGGGTCTGCGGCCCCCTCCTCTGAGACAGGGGCAGAACTGGAGGTCCCTGCAGGGGTCAGAGTCGAGTAGGGCGTGTCCAGAAACCCTCCCCCCAGGTGGGCACAGGCAAGGGAGGGGCTGCCACGTGAGGGGCTTGTGAGGAGGGGCTGCAGCCTGTCTGGCCCTGCCCGGAGGGGTGTGGAGGGGCCTGGGGAGGGCTGAGAGGGGGCACGGAGGGAGACGATGGGGGGAGGCTGGGAGTGGAGGCGTGGAGCGGGGGCAGGATGGTC